AATGCCCCCCCCCCCCCCCCCCCCGACCACAATCCCATCCTACCCTTCCTTTATGTCTGTTGGTCTATCATGAATTAACAAAAACAAAGGAGGAATAGACAACCAGAGAATTGGTGTAAGTGGAAATGATACCTAGGCCCACAGCCAGCAATTTCAAACTAGAGGGTGTTCTTTTACCATGTAGACCTCTTACCATGAAACCGTAGTGTACTTAGATCAATTTTTACCCAGAGTGAACTCTTTCCTGGCAAAAAGAGCAGTTTGTTTCAACCCTCCGACCCCTTCTGGCTACAGGCATGATACCAATTCAAACACACAGTATTGGCAACCCTGTCGAAACCAAGAAGACTGCCTTGATATAATTTAGCTGCTTCTTGCATAACCTGGCAAATATATGGGTCAGTGTAACTTGATTTTCTTACATATCAATATCCATACTATTGCTTTTACTGCATCTCTCATATTTAGGCTGTTTTAAGAAACAGTTAAAAAAGGGGAAATTATGTATTTCAAAGAGTGAAATAATGAAATTTAAATAATATTTTTAAAAATTAATCCATTTAGATTATGTAATTAAAGTATGCCGTACTTACAGTGAAATGTTTTGAAATGATAAAAGATGGCATTTGAGTTGCTTATTTATTTAATTTGTGATTACAAGCAATATTATGAAAAGAAATAAAAGGAATTTTAATCAAATCAATTGACCTTAGATAAAAATGCTAGTACAGTTAAGTTAAAACATTTGAAATATTTGAAATTATTTACATCTTGGTTACTTTTCAGTTTCATCATTATTTTCAAGCGTCATGAACTACATGTGCACCATGAATTTTAAAACTTGAAAATTAGTGTAAAATTTATTACCAAAAGAAGATTCCAGTATTAGGATTGTGTAATAGATGAAAAAAAAACAAATCATGATTTAAGAAACGTTCCTCCTTGTCTGCCTTACAAGTCATTATATTTCCACTATCTGTAATTCAGTCGAGGTACTTTTGAAGTCCAGACGTAATAGAGACTGACAGTGGTTGGGAAAGACATGGTAAACCCATTGCCACTGCAGTAATCTGCTCGCTATCTACTGACAGACAAATGGGGAACCCAATATGCAGTTTGGAATTTCTCCTGTGGTTTGAGAACCCTCTAACTGCATTTCCGTCCTTTAGAAGATCAGCTCTGTCAGTGTATTGATGACAAAATTTGATTAAGTGTGAAGTCATCAGTGTCTCTCTCAGAGACAGCTTTAAACAATCTCAGATAAGAGACATGGAATTGGAGAATTTTGCTTATTGGATGTACGTCAAATAATTAGTTTTAAATTTAGAAAAAGTTTGTTTTTTTTTTTGTTATGTTTACTAGAAACAGAACTTGCCAACATAAAGTTAATCATTCCTCACTCATACTAGTATATACTTTGTATCTCATTTTATGCTGTATAATTTTTGGCTGCAATACTTCAAAGATTCGGTTTATGTGTATTATATATATTTTTCCATCCATAAAATGAATATATCTTATTACATAGCAACACATAATAATGCTTTGTATTTAACTGTCTCATTACAAACTTTATACTACATATGCATTGTATCTCACATATTATAGATATTTTCTCTTACCATTAAGTATCATATAACAGACCAAACTCTAACCATAATATATATATGTCATATATGTATGTTTTAATAAAAAAGTGTGCTCACTGTATATCCATTGTATCTTCAGGCTTATCTCTTCGGCTACATGAATAGTGCATGTAATCCAATTATCTATGCTCTGCGTAGTCCTTCTTTCCGCGAGGGTTTCAAAGAAATCATATGCCGTGGACAGGGATATGTAACAGAGGAAATGTTAGGTAAGGAATATTTTTTCAATGAATTTTTAAAACGTTTTCCAATTCTTAATGAACACTGGAAAATTGTTTAAGTTATTTATGTTACTTAGCATGTATTGAATGATGTTTATAAAAGGAGCATCAGCAAGATCTGCTGTCTTTTTGATGGTACTGATACGTAATAAGGTGCATAACTTAGTTTTGATATGTTTATTATGACCCCAGTGCATTGACAACAAATAACATGCCAGTAACGTTAAAACAAAAAATTAAAAAAAAAAAAGAAAAAAATTATTAATAATATTTGGAATAAAGTATATGTATTATTTTACTTTTTTGACATGAATTACATATTTTAAAATGCAGGCATCTTTTTAAAAAATATTTACTTTGTTCAAAATGAAAACTGGACTTGTCGAGTCCTTTTCTTAACAAAAGGCACTTAACATACTCACAGATTGCACACAACTTTATCTGAAAGCATTCCTAACTTTTCCTTATTATGAAATCAGTTGCAATTTTTTATTTATTAAGCTTTTTGTCTTATGTTTCTAGAATTTATTTTGTTTAACTTTTAGATATCATAGGATTTATTGATATAATTGATTAATTTACACCACCATTTATGTACCTATATAATTTCAGATATAAGTTTGATTGTAAGATGACAGATGTATGATATAATCAACACAAACCAGCAGTGAAAAGTATTATAATGATAGATGGTAGCAATTCAGTGCTGTTAGCAAATTATTGATTCATTCAATAGAAGAATGAAGTTCTAGGGAAAGGAACATGAGAGTGTGGTGAAGTGATGTTTGTTTATTTCCTGTAAAACAAAATGTATGTAATTCCAATGTTATGATGTAGAATGTTGAGATTGTGATCTGGATGAAGTATGTGTGTTTGAATCTGTGTGTTTATTTATTTATTTATTTATTTATCACCTAACTTACAAGATGTAGATTCAGTCATTCTTTGCTTGGCTGATCAAGTTCCATCTCACAGGACCCCCTCCCCCACCCCCTTCCCCTCAACTAAAATAGTCTCTCCATTATCTCCTTCTGTACAACCCCCACCCTAGCTGAATTAAACCACAGGGTTTAATTCAGTACCGGTACCATGAAGCATATGTGGACTCTGTGGGGAAATTACAAATTTTTCTTCTATAAAGTAAGCTAATGGAATGAACACTGCACACTTGCTTTGGTGGGAAATGGGATCAGAAAGGGCACCTGGGAATAAAGCTTAAGTGTTTCCTGTGCATCAAAATATGTTATTTGGGTAATTGAATATAAATTATGTATGTCCCAGTAGATCAGTGAGAAGTGGGTGATGTAATATGCGCCATTAATATCAATATGTCCCTAGTGGTATGAAATTAATGGACCTCTTCAGAGAATTTGATTGAACCTCTCCCTCTCTCATTCTCTCTGTCCTATCATTATCTTGCAAATCATCTGAGCTTTTAGTGATGAAATATATACAGGTAAATCCCAAATTCGAATGTATAAACATCCTCACATGTATAAAAATTTGATCGAAGTTCTCTGCCATTTGACTATTACTTTGTCAACTGGGTCAACCTAGGGAGTAAAAAGATTCACATTTCAGAGAAACAACCCCAGTTGAAATTGCTGGCCTCGCGACGTAGATCACAGATAAATGTATATTACTGTGAAATGTTGGCTAATTGGCATTTTTCTGTCATTGAATCGTGTAATTGTGATTAGCCTGTTTTCTTTAAAATGGCACCTGATTAGTAGGTGGAGTGGGTGTTTGATCTTCCCTGAAGCATTAGTTATTTGAAGGTGTTAGTTATTTGAATCAATTGCCCTTGAATTAAGAGATACTGCATAATTGATGCTGTTTCCATTGGTGTCAATGAGACCAGATACAACAGGGTGTACTATATAGTCAGGCAATGGGATTTTAGTGTACTGGTAGAGTTCATTCACGCAGAGTGTACATATATATATGGTGAGAGTTTCTGAGTATTGCCCTCAGCTTGGCAGGAAAAGAAGCCTACAAAAGGTTGAAGAATAATTCAGATGTTGGAAGAGTGTAACCAGCAGTTTCAAGGGGCAGGGGGTTCTTTAAATAAAGGGGTGTCTTTTTTACCAGCTTAGTTGGCCCAAATTGACAATTTTGGCAAAGGAGGTATATGTAGGTACATTTTTGAGTGAGAGCAGAATCTTTCCTAACCAAAAGAGCAGTTCTATTTAACCCCCCCCCCCCCCACCACCACCAGCCTACAGGATGGTGTATGTGCTAAGTTTATGAACAAAATATATTCATTCATTTCTGATATCTAAATGATAATACCAGAAATGCAAGAGTTATACATGTAACACATTTTTTCAATAATGAAACCAAGTTATATTTTGAAGAAAAAATTTCAATTGCTAATTCCTGCATAAAACCACAACCCTTTATAGGTAAAGCTAGTGAGCTCATGCTTATAGGTTATTTAAAAACTGTTCTTTTTGGGAGGGCAGACCCAGTTTAAAGAAAAGGCTTTCCTTATCCACCAGCCCCCCCCCCCCCCCTTTTTTTCCCATGATTTTATCACACTGTGTTTGCTGGCTGACTTTATTTATCTATTTTTGTTCCGGAGACTTAAGCTAAATGTGTTTGTTATGCTTGGCACAATGTGGAGTGTGTTCTGGTATGATTGTGATTGTTGAGATGTAGGATTGTGTCAGGATGTGACAAAGATATGTCATTTATGTTTGATGTATACTTGACTTAAATTGAATTTAAAATGAGTCTGCATATTGAATATTTAAGTAGCTGTTTATATTTTAAACCTTTATGCTTACTGTGTTCAATTTTTAGCAAGGGAGACATTTAGGAAAGCAAATTGTATGTACAACACTTTTATATTTCAATATTGTGAATTTATTCCCCAACCCCTTTTTTAGATGTTTTTATAACTACAGTATTGTATGTGTCAGTAACATGAAGAGATGCTCATGATAACTGTGTCCTCCTCTGTGATTTACTGTTGTAAGCATCAGGCCACAGCCAGCACTGTTTTCATTAAAACTATTTCAAGACTAATCCCAGCTTGATTGCAATCAACCATTAAGGTCACTTTGGGCAACATTTGTTTTCCATCAATTTACCCACAATCCTGTTTTTCAACCTGACCACTAGACTATCATTTTGTCCCGAGAATAAGTCTTCTTGTTAGACATTAAATTTAAGTCTCATACAGGCCCTTACTTAGCCAGCAATTTCAAAGGGGTGGGGTTCTTTTTCTTAGAATGCAGACCTTTTCACCTGTCATTTGACCTGACTTACAAAATGGCATAAAACTCTTAGATTGATTTTGATTCAGAGTGGACATTGACAAAAGAGGCAGTTCTTTTTAACTCCCATTATGGCTGAGGGGTTAGGTCCCAAAAATAAAATTCTTCCTGCAATAAGTCAAAAAATTGTTTTAATTGAAATAGTGCTGGGTGGATTTTCAGTTATTGTTCACAGGTCTGTCATCTCTATGTGCTTTTGTATTTTCAAGTATTTTGGCTGTCAGTATACCAATGTTGTCAGGTGTTGTTTACAACATGATGTATCTAAACAAACGGCTGTGATATTTTGCAAACTGTGATGTTGGTCATCTTATTGTATTGTATTATTATATATGTAAACTTGTTTAAACTGTGTCACACAGTGAGTTTTTAGATTTTTATTATAAAAAAAATTATTTACCTGAAAATTTCACCAAATTTGTTAATCCCAAAATATATCTTATCCAAAACTTTCAGAAAAATCTTCTTTTTTTTTTTAATTTTTGAAGTTTTTCAACTTTCATTTTTATCATCATGAGCACAGTTCATCATACAGTTTCCACCTTTGTTATTAGTGACTCGATTAAAAATGCAAACTAAAATTTTTCTAGATTTAATTGTAAATTGTGAGTGGCTTTTAACTTGGTGCACCCTGGTGATCAAGGGTAAAAGTGTTGAAATTTTCAGGAAAATAAACCCTGTCTCTCTTAATTCAACAAAATGTTTGCCCCATATGGCAGGGAGTACAATAACTATGAGTCAAAAAAGGTGTTCAATTTTTGATACCACACTTATTTATATTTTAAATATCCCTCATGTTGTTTTGTATTTTGGAATATTTTGCTGACAGTAGAAGTTGGTGTTCCACTGCAACATTGCTCATCATCAGAACTGTTTTCTAATTAAATTGATTATGTGTGTGTGTGTAGATTTTAGTAATTTATCAATTTTTGAAACCTGGAACATAATCGCGTGGTGATGAGTGATGTTTTTATGACTAATTGTTGGTTACACCATTTTGTACCTGTTTGTAGATACTTGTACAATGTACTTTTGAAAGAGTTTTGTATTAATCCCTCAATTGCAAGTATCTGTCAGCCAGAAGTTTGTCAGTGTTAACATACAGTGTTTTCTATCATGATTCAAGTGATATTTACCCAGATTAATCAGCAGTTATGAACTTAAGTGACTGAGAAATTTGCACTTTATTCTATTTTTAAATTCTAGTGAGTAGTTATGATTAATGTATGATATATATTTAATGGAAATATTGATGATATATATCAGTGTGACATCACAGATCATGAGAATTTTAGACTTGCATTTTGGAATACTTATAAAACAAAAGTTTTAGATATTGTCACATCTCAGTCAAAAAGCTACTAGTTTCCAATGATTTTGGTCTTGAACATAATTATTTTTCTGCCAGATGGAAGCAGAAACGATGCTTCAAACTGTCACTTTATTTATTGACTGAGAACTGGAAATGTATCCATCTTATAAACCTCCCATGGACCTGTTTCAAAAAGGACTTGAGATCAAAGGGAACTCTTAACTTCAAGAAAAAAAAATGGTCTTTTTTGAGCCATGATAAATCAAAATTTGTTTTTCTAAAATGTGCCTGTTTTATAAAAAAAAAGCTTCTTTTGGGACTTTATTTTAGTAGACTACTGCAGATATATTCTGTGGAGTGGAGCTAAATTTGGGGTTTAAAGTTAAGACCAACTAACTTTTGGTCCCAAGTGATTTATTTGAAAAGGAATCCAATCAAAGTATTTTCCTTTGCTACAGTAAAGATTATCTGTTTGCTTTTCCTGCTCACAATTGGCCTATCACAGGTGGATCATCACATTCTGTGTTTCACACTCTCAGCACAACACGATCTGTGACATCGCTCACTCAGGCCTCGCCACAGGTTAGAAGATTGCTTGCAACCCAACCCAATCATGCATTAAGAAATGGCATCCAGTCAAGACGTAGAAATTCTGCCTCCGATACGCTTGTCCCTTCAAGAAGTCGAACAGGAAGTTTTGCTAACTCCGTCAAAAGCTTGCCTAAAGTCAAACATACCAGTTATGGTGAACTACCCTTGTTGGCAATTAGAAATAATATTAAAGGTGCAACACAGCTCAACCAACCTGCGTTTCTTAAATTTGATTTCTGTGAGAAAAACGCATCTCTCCCTACTCTGCCCAAAAGCACAGATAGCTCAGTGTCATGCTTCAAGTTAAAACATGGCAGTAAACCTAGCAACCAGCATATAGGGGCCAGCGAGCCTTCTGTCCTTGGAATCCTGGGAAATTCTGCTGGAGATAATGTCAAATCCGTAAAAAGTGACAGCAAATTAAGAGTGACATTCTGTCTTGATGACTCCATCCAAGATGAAAGGCTCAAAGTAAGTGATACATGTACCCCTCTTCTCAAAGATGTTGGGGAGACAGAAGAAGGTAAAGGGGAAATGGGGAATGATGAAAAATGTAATCATGAAGAAGATGCTATTAATCAGAGTGCCATAATGCCAGACCTACCAAATTTGCTAGACAGAAATTTTCGTTGGATAGATGATGATGATGATGATGATGACAATGATATGATATGATATGATATAACTCAAAGATCTGAAAATATTTTTTGATGTTTGCTTCAATATATTCATAAACATCTACATTTGTACTAGAAGGAGAGAAAATACTGGTACTCTCAGAAACTGCATATATTGAAATTTAAACAATTTCAGTTTGTTTTTAAATTTACAGTATAAAAAAATGTGATGCACAAATGCCCCAAGTCATTGTAAATATGGCACATGTACTTGTGATATTGATTTAGCTCATTCATTTTTGTCAGTATTACAGAAAAAGGCCTTGCTCATTACCAACAATAAATACAAAAAAATAATTATCAACTAGTATATCCATTGTTTGCACAATTACTATTACATGTACATGTATATTTTTCTTTAAGTTGTTGAATAAATGTTGTATTTGATGTTATTAAGTTTGCCTATCTTTAGAATTAGCCAAAACTGTAAAACTCTTAGAAAACAACTTATGAATGTAAGAAGAGCAAGTTAAACTGTGTACATGTATATGGTTGTCAAGTCTGAATGTCACTGCAGGTCTTTTAGATGCATGCGCTTCGGATGGTAAACTAATTTAGTCTTGATGCTTAGTTATGTATTGAATTTTATGAGAGTAGGCATCCATATTGGTTAGTGATAAGATGTATGCTTATGTGAGTGAGTAGGATTTCAGTTAAGTGTTTGCATTGTTTATTTTTTAAGATTTAAAAAAGAGGATTGTTTTGTTGAACACGATATATATGGCAGTGATGTTCATGTAAGTATGGTATTAAAAATAATCAATTCTAGGATTTTGTGTTTCACTCTTACTATGTACTTGCACGTAGATTATGACGTTGACCTAAAAATGGGCAGAGAAGATGACGCAAGGAGCAGTCTCTATCCTGTTAGAGACAGTCAGCCAGCTAGTGGGGAAAATGAAAAAGGGTTTGTCTTGCATAACAGAGTGCCATCTGGTAATAGGATCTGCAGCCCTCTGGCAGATTGTTGCCTTGGTTAGTGCTGGCGTAGTAACAGTTGTCATGGTAATGGGTGCAGTGTTGCTAGGGCTTCAGTGTTTGATCTTTTGTACTAATTTTTGACAATTGCAGGTGGCTTATGTACCATATAACTGAGGTTAATTTATTGAGATTTGTGATGAAGATGATTAGGCTTAAAGATGATATTTACTGGTACACAGATAGGTACTGGTAAATGTGAAAGTGTAATTTAAATAAAAATGAATACAATTCGTATGTATACATATACTAGTATATTTATTTTTGATTTTTCGATTTTGTTTTTCATTTTCCCCTTTATTTGGTTAATATTTTTTATTTTTATTTTCTTGATAATTTTGAATATTACTTTAATTTCACATTGAAATTATAATATTCTCCTTGATTGTTTAAGTAAAAATTTAAGTCACATACATTTATTTCATTAATGCATGTGTACAAATGTTACCTTAGCTTTCATAAATTTAATGAGTTTAAAAATTGTTTTCAAATTTATTTAATGACTATTAATCAACATCTTTTCTTTATAATTTTATTTGCCTTTTCATTTACTTCATATCTCCCCTTTTTATAATCTTATCTGTTATATTACCTGCTTTAATCCTTAATAGCATTAACTTTGCTACTGAAGTTTGATTTGAAACTAATACATAACTGACCAAGAGTTTTTACATTGTAAGTATTACAAGCTGTGTTCAGATCCATTTCCACTAAATTAACAAAGATTGAAATATTTCAAACTTATGAAGTGATGGTCAAATCTCAGATTTTTTAATTTTTGTTCTGAGAGCCTTCAGCAATTGCCATAACATTTTTCTTTCTTCCTTTTTTTTAAGTACTTAACAATTTTATTTTTATTGCGTATGAAAATTAAGACTGCTGTTTGGGTTTAGGTTATTACTGTAATATTCGGCTGCTATTTTGAAAAATGTAATTACTTTGTAATGTAAAACATTGGTATTAAAACACCCTAATATGTAAAAAGGGATCTGAATACAGCATATGCCTCATATCAATAATCTGAAAATTCTGAAAATTAAAATCAGAAATAACTTTTTCAAGATCATATATTTATATTACATAATGCAAAAATTAAAATACATTTGAACACGGTGATTGGTAGTACACTGGTGCTTTTTTGTGTTATTGATACTAAGAGGGGATTCTAGAGATGTGGTCTAAGACTTATTTTGTTAATAACTTGATTTTTTGTTTGCTGCACTTTTTTCTTTAACATTTATCTCTTATTATTCAGAATTATAAAAGAATTATTTTATTTTTTCTTTCTTTTTTGCAATCGCACAATATACTTTACAAAACTAAAACAAACTTCTAAAATATTACATGTTTAAGTGAAAATTATTACAAAAATAGAGTTCAAAAAGTATTTTGAATGCCCTTTTTTTATTAATATGTTTTAAAGGATGAAATTAGTTTTTACAGAAAACATTTCCTGGGTGAGGATACCTGCTGTAAAGATGCTGATGTTTCATGGTCTAAAATGGTATCCACTCCCGATTTTATATAGAGGTGGTCTTATTTTTCAAACAATTTCTGATATTTTCTTCTAGGATGCTGCTCAGATGCGGATGTTGAGTCCTTTGCAGGTACTTTTTGCACTGCTGTTGCTTTTGTTTTGGTTCATATTTTATCATCACTTTACATGTCATCTTCACATGCAGTAACAGATCTAAATGCACCAAAATCTGAATAGGACATAATGGTTTACTTTGTCACTTTTTAAAACTGTAATCAAGTTTGCTGGAAAAAAGGCAAATCCAAGGGGCCCCAGCCAACACCCTTCCTACCAGAACCCTGAGTATTAGAGGTCATTGGAAACTAGCCCTTCCTCTCTCTCTCTCTCTCATTCTCTCTCTCTCTCATAGCCATGCACTTGCTATTTCTAGTAACTGGATACCACAGGTGCATGCCTTTGCTTGGTGAGTTTCCAAACTTCTGACACTCAGGGTGCCCTCCTCCAATTCTTGAAAACAGAACCAGGTTCAGGTCAGATAGAAGAAAAATTAGGCGATGACTCAATCTATTCAGTGGGCAACAAATTGTGAAAATGACAGATACTGTAATTTCTTATGTCATTAATTCTTCAAACTAGACCATGCATGTTGATTCAGTGGTATGTCATGTAGGACCAAAATCTAAAAGCGGTTTCATTCTTTACAGTAAAGCACCACCAATGCTATATAGAAATCATATATTTTTCTATTATTCCAAAATCATTTTCTGAAAAATTGGTAATTTGTCCCCATTGAAAAGATGAAGTCATTACTGTACCTGTTGAACTGGTATTACCACAAAATGCCTCAACAATGGATAATTATCTTTTTCAAAAAAAATATCAGACAGTGGGAGGGAGAACAGAACATCTCTTTGACTAATATAATTCTGGATCAGCCTCTGTTGTTTTATTTATAATTTCTTTCTTATGGAGTGATTTTTGAATTCGTATGTGTTTGAATATGTAGCTGTTTGTATGATAGGATAAGATGAAATATGCAGGAGTCTCATAAGTTCCAGATACATGCAAAGTATAGCTTTTTTTTAAATCTTGTATATTAACCATGGATGCATTTCAGAAAGTTTGATTGCAATAGATGGCACATACTTGTACTAGTACCAGTACTAAGAGTACAGTTTATACATAGATTCTAGTATAACCAGTTATGGCATTATAATTATACACAACTCTTGCACAACTTTCATGTTCAAAAAATATACCCTTTGCACCGAAGTTACTGCCCAGACAGGGTAAAGAAATATACTGTCACCACTCACTTGATTTAAAGAACTATAACAGTATAACTTTATTTCTACATTCCTGATTTAACTGCTTGGTGACACAAGAAAGTATGTATATGGTGTCCTAGAGCCTTTTCAGAACCATTTGATTCATGGACTAACTAGTCCCCTCAAATATGATCAAATATGGCGTAACCCTCTTGAATGCTTGCAGATATTTAATAACTCTGCCCTTGCAGGGAGGGTGGCTTGCGAGGCAGAAATCCATTACATTATCGTTAGGGAATAACAAGTGTACGCCATGTTTGATGCAAGCTCTATCATCTAGCTATTCAGTGGATCAGCTGGTTCTGAACAGGCCCTTCTTTAAGCACCCCCCCCCCCCCTTACTATTCACCATAGGCCAGTTGAGGGATGATGTCTGTTTTGTGCAAAAATTCCTGTTGAACAGCTCTCACAGTACCGAAATGTGCACAGACCAGCTAGAGAAATATCTGTGAATAACTAGTAAAAAATCAACTGTGGCCCTGAAAAGGGTAATTCCCCCAATCTCTGGCAATATTCACTCTACTAGTAGGATATAGTGGCAGAAAGTGAGGGCCAGCACAATCAAGCATGCTAACAAACTGGAACTTTTTTTTTTTTTTTTTTGTTAAAACCATATATCCTGAGTATGGGTCTTTCATATCTCTGTATCTTCTTTAAGGTTGTGAACAACATATTTGTGTGAACAGTGTAAAGATATCAGTTATATACTTGACTCTAGTGTGCATTTTAAGTAGGACACTGGACCAACTGTCTTTGCCTGTCTTGTGTGAAATTGTATGTTTACTCTTTTGTCTATTTGTTGATATTTTTCATCTTTGTATTTCTCTCTTTCTGTCTCTCATTAATTTTATTTTAGCCCTTCTATTTTCTCTCTAGACTGTGCTCAAAGTAATCCTGATCACTTCAAAAACAGGATAGAAAGATGAAATACATACTGGTAATTTGCCTTCTTCTATTTTTGGGAATTTTGACTAATTTTCTAATGGATGTGCATTATTGGCTGCATGTACATGTACCTACAACCAAAATAGATATATAAATCCTGTTATTTTTTATCTGGCATGAGGTCCTTCTTTCAGTGTTCTGTCCAGAAAATATATTTAGATTTTTATTTATTATAATATTTTTAAAAAATATTTTAGATAAAAAGAAGAAACAATTTGATGTGCTTAAAAGTAATCTGCTATGACCAATATTTCCCATTTCCATTTTCCCAGCCTCATTCTTAATTACTCTTTTATTGCTACTTATCTCTGACCAAGGTATCAAATGTAAGCTATATCATATGGATGCTTTCATGCAATCTTGTGTCAGTGTTGTTACATGTTTAAGCATGAAATTGTTACCAAATTCCATGCCTAGTATCAGTTAAATGTGTCATGGTACCCTATATTGTCATATATTGTCATGGGAGTTTTTGTTGAAAGCATGAAATAGTCACTAAATGTTATGCCCAGGGTCAGTTTATTAATTAACTCATGCACTCTGAGCTACACTGTATTTGTCATGGTACCCTATATTGTCTTGTCATGCAAGCTGTCATGGAAGCATAAAACTGTCACTGATTGTCATGTTTTATGTCATTTGAATAAGTTGCTAAGGCGTCATGTTGTCATGGTACCTTGTGTCACTCTCACTTTTTTCCCATTTATGCGTGATATGCAGTTGATGATTTTCCCACTTTTTTGTGGTGATTTGTTGTTTACATTGCACCAAACAAACTTGTCAGCACAGTAATTTTTTTTAATGTGGACTCCCTCTATCATATGTTTTAACTACATGTAGCACCATGTAGCTTGGGCAAAATTGATTTTTGAAGTCAGATTAATGCCAAAGTGATAGATAACAGTGGCACCTTTTTCACATTCCAAGAACATGTCCAACTACAGTAGTGCATGTAGTTCAATACACTTCACAAAAAAGTTGTGAACAATTGTTATTGTTGTTAATTATTTACATGCTGTGGTTCAATTTAATATTGTCATATTCATTACAACGTCCACTTTTGCCACCCTGAAATTCAGAGCACTAAGGGTAACTTACCTAGCTATAGGCTATTACTGAGGCAGGGTTCCATTAGGCTCTGAAATTCAGGGTGTAATGTGGTTCATTTGGGGTTGGTAAAATTCTTGTCCTATGGCAAGAAGTTACAAATCAAAAGAGTTCCAGTTTTAACACACTGTTCTGAGCAATTGGTGTAAAAAGGGGGGGGGGGGGGTAACATTTCCGTCTAGCTTGCAAACATAGTCATGAAATTGGCAGATTGGGGTCTACTTTTTAAGTTCACTGGATTGGTGTAGTAATGATGCCATTTGTTTTTATAAATTTTAAATATCACAGTTTTTTTCATCAAATTTCAAAACAATCCAAAGGGTGTTCTGATGGTATCAAATAAATCAATAAGCTGACAAGAAATATTTTAAAATAGAAACACAGCCCATTGTACAGTGTACATGCTTTTAGTTTATCATTTTGAGGATATGTATTGTTAGCCCTTCTCCAGATACATGTTAGCCCTTACCGATCTCTGTGGGAAGTTTTTTAATGTTTTGTTCTGCTGCATTTCCCTATGTCATTGCTGGGGAAAGGATAACAGAATACTGGTAAATTTGGCAAAAAAGGGAATACACTTAACTGGTACTTTTGCAGCCGGTGTTAAGCTTCACATAATCATGCAGATACCTGTCAGGGAAAGCATGTACTAGGAAGGATGGACAATATCATATCCTCAATACAAATTTGTCTTTAAAAAACACAAAGTTGTTTGTTTGTACACATACCAATAATGCATGTTTGATTAGATGTCATGAAGTCATACTAACCTTTAGTACTAATTGATATTTAAGGGGATGAGAAAATGATTATATGTAAGTTTTGAACTGATTTGATAAAACTCATTAATAGATGATTTCATGCAGTGGTTGTTTTTAGTACTAGTTGGTATTATGCCTGAAGTGTTTTGATAAAATTTATGTCTTTCTGTAAGGATTTGTCAGGTCTGTCAAAATATAGTCTCTAAGGGTGCTTTCCCAGAGATTTAGATCAATCTAAAGATTAAGATTTAGATCGACCTAACTCCCTGGGGGTTCACGCTAAATTGCAGTCAGCCGAGCGGGCACCATAGTTAATTACCCCCTTACAGCTTTTAGTAGGCGGGACAGACGCTTAATTCGGACAAGCTGACAGTAATCTAGTGAGACTCCCCACAGGGATAGATCGTTCTAAAAAGCTATGGAAATGGGGTGTAAGGACGCATTCAGAACAAGTCGATCTGTGGACAAACAGGTTGGTTAGATCAAATATGGCCCACCCACTTGGAATCTTGCGAATTAATCCCCTAATAGACACTGAATAGATTCCACATGGGGAATATGCCATATGCTTTCAAGTGGTTCTGCCATATTTGATCTGTGGATCTATTAGACTGGGTTCCCATACTTAGATCAATCCATCTGGATCGACCTAACTCTCTGGGGGTTCACACTAAATTGCTATCAGCTCTAGAGGCTTAAATGTCTGTCATGCTTACCAAATCAGCTAGGGGTAAAGATAATTGACCCCTTACAGTTTTACTAGGGGTGACAGATGTTTAATCCGAGTAGTTTAATAGCAATTTAGTGAGACTCCCCAGGGAGATAGATCAAAATATCTGTGGGAATGGTCCCCTAGTCTGCAGATCAACTTTGGTTGTGTTTGCAGCCTCATTGATGATGTGGTGAATCTAAGAAACTCTAAGACTTCACTATTTTCATATAATATTACAGTTAGACATTTTTGTCCAGATATGACTTGATGCCAGTTGTGGAGTTGGTGTTTTGATTACAGATGTGGTTTTGACTATGATTATACCTTCATTATAACATTTAATGTCAACTTTTAAAAACATCTTAAGTTTGCAGTTTTACATCTGAAAATGTCTATCCAGTTTAAATTTTAAAATTTATGAAATTTTATTTATATCTAGAATAGTTATGTCCCAACTAATTGTAACTAATTGCCTTTAGCAAGTGTAGGGATTTGATTTGATTATTATTATTATTATTATTATTATTGTCGACTTTCCACACAGAAGAAATTGGTTATTTTACGGGGAGAAGGAAATCTTGCGAAAAAAATTCAAATCTGTCTGATGAAGAAAAATGTTCACTGCTATAATTAGCCCAAACTTACTTGACTTTGTTTATATTTCCAGATTCATTGAGGACAGAAGAATCCAGCGCAAACACCAGTGCTTTACGTCGCCTAAGTCTAATGGTTGCTACGTCAATGAGGGAACGTTTTGGCATTGCTGCCAATGACCAACCACAAAAGAAACGTGTCAGCTCTTCATCTTCCCTCGGTGGTCTAGGCACACGGGCTGCCCCCATTTATCAAAAGCGAGGGTCAGCCATTTATAAAAACAACAAGGTAATAAAAGTCCTAGTTGATGCAGGCAGTGGACGGTCAAGTCCAGTGTTTGATCAAAATTACTGCCAAAAACAAAAAATCCAATCCACCCAAAGAGACATTAGTGCTGCTATAGAAAACAACAGAAATAACCTAACTGTTGCTAATGGCAACAGCTGTCATAGCAACCAGGGTTCTGATACAGAATTGGACTATCAGTCTGGTCCCAGGGACAGGATAGTGAGATTTTTCGTCACTCCTGATGATAATGTCACTGACTTTGACACTGAAATTCCGTTTGTTAGTGAAAACGGTGACAAATATAAGGCTGACTCCTGTCACAGTATTGACAGCATTGAGCTCCAAGTGACAGATGAAAAAGGAAAGGTGCACGATATGGGCTTAGCTTTCACAGACTTTTCTGATGTTCAAATGTCAGAACCAAAAGATACAGGACCAGGGCAGAGGGTGACACAGAAGTCTTCAAGTGGGAAGCAACAACAACTAACTCTAACTTCACCATCAAACGGTGAGTCTTCATCTGATAGAAAGTTCCCTGTAATAGCAGCACATGGTGGTACCAGTAGCACTAGCAGTAAAGGCCGCCGACCCAAAGGGCACCATTCACATCGACCTAGATCAAATACCTATGATGCTCTACAGTCTTCACCACGTTCTGACACAATACAGCAGCTGGTACCACGTGTGCGCCAAATTGCCAAAAGTGAAACAATGTTGGCGGAAACAAGCCAAGAAAAGCAGTCCTACCATTCAGCCGCATTGGAGAGGCGAAAGCGCTATCCAAAATGGCGTCTCCCTTCTGTGGAACATTTAGATTATCGCTTGCCCAAAAAACATGCTCACAGTGACACTAGACTTCATCAGAAAGGGTTATACGTAAAACAGAAATTGGAAAATGTAGAACCAAAAAAGGCCATTCACAGTAGTCATGATTTTATTGAAATATTTGTATAAAAAGTTGAAGACAAATGACCATTTTACATAAGACATAAGTGAATAAGAGCATAATATTTGACTGCATTGTTTAATGTTTTCTATAAAAAGGAAAGATTTTTACATAAATATGTGGATGAAGTTGTCAAAACTGTGCATTTAGTTTTTTTTACTAACTTTAACTTTACAGACATTTGATTTGTGTAAAAAAAAAAAACATCTTATTTAATGATCTGAATAAATCTTTTCAGTGGAGAAATCACCAAGTATCGACCCGTCTCCAGTTTTTCCAAAATGTTACAAAAGTCAATCTACTACACCTGTCAATCATAAAAAAATGTGGAAACGTGCCCGAATCACTTCATTAAAGCCCCCAATTTCAGCTTTAAAGATTGCCAAAAAGCACACCTGAGAACATGATTTGGAGAGAGGGGGGTAGATAGAGTTTTTGCTCTGTTTCTTCCTAAATATGACACAACCACTCTTCCAGTACTTTATACTCACTACAAATGACCAAACACACCTACTGATCACTATAACAATGAAAAAAAATTTCTTCCCTATTTGGCCCAAATTGAAGAAAATTGCCATATCCGACCCTTATGAAAATCACTCAAAATCACCCAGAATTGACCTGTCTCCGATTTTTCCAAAATGTGACAAAAATCAATCTACCACACCTGTCATTCATAAAAAATGTGGAAACATGCCCAGATTACTTCATTAAAGCCCCCAATTTCAGCTTTAAAGATTGCCAAAAAGCACACCTGAGAACAGGATTTGGAGAGAGGGGCGCGGAGAGAGTTTTTGCTGTATTTTTTCCTTAATGATGACACAACCACTCCTCCAGTACTTTACACTCACTACAAATGACCAAACACACCTACTGATCACTATAACAATGAAAAAAATTTTCTTCCCTATTTGGCCCAAATTGAAGAAAACTGCCATATCCGACCCTTATGAAAATCACTCAAAATCACCCAGAATTGACCTGTCTCCGATTTTTCCAAAATGTGACAAAAATCAATCTACCACACCTGTCATTCATAAAAAATGTGGAAACATGCCCAGATTACTTCATTAAAGCCCCCAATTTCAGCTTTAAAGATTGCCAAAAAGCACACCTGAGAACAGGATTTGGAGAGAGGGGCGCGGAGAGAGTTTTTGCTGTATTTTTTCCTTAATGATGACACAACCACTCCTCCAGTACTTTACACTCACTACAAATGACCAAACACACCTACTGATCACTATAACAATGAAAAAAATTTTCTTCCCTATTTGGCCCAAATTGAAGAAAACTGCCATATCCGACCCTTATGAAAATCACTCAAAATCACCCAGAATTGACCTGTCTCCGATTTTTCCAAAATGTGACAAAAATCAATCTACCACACCTGTCATTCATAAAAAATGTGGAAACATGCCCAGATTACTTCATTAAAGCCCCCAATTTCAGCTTTAAAGATTGCCAAAAAGCACACCTGAGAACAGGATTTGGAGAGAGGGGCGCGGAGAGAGTTTTTGCTGTATTTTTTCCTTAATGATGACACAACCACTCCTCCAGTACTTTACACTCACTACAAATGACCAAACACACCTACTGATCACTATAACAATGAAAAAAATTTTCTTCCCTATTTGGCCCAAATTGAAGAAAACTGCCATATCCGACCCTTATGAAAATCACTCAAAATCACCCAGAATTGACCTGTTTCCGATTTTTCCAAAATGTGACGAAAATCAATCTACCACACCTGTCATTCATAAAAAATGTGGAAACATGCCCAGATTACTTCATTAAAGCCTCCAAATTCAGCTTTAAAGATTGCCAAAAAGCACATCTGAGAACAGAATTTGGAGAGAGGAGGGTGGAGAGAGTGTTTGCTCTATTTTTTCCTTCGTAATGACACAACCACTCTTCCAGTACTTTACACTCACTACAAATGACCAAAATCACCTACTGATCACTATAACGATAAAAAAATTCTCCCTTCTTTGGCCAAAATTGAAGAAAACTGCTTGTTAGTTTCTCGTTTGGATTCGTGAAGATGCTACCACTACAAACAGTGAAATAAGAAGGGCTTGGTGCTTTCATCTTTAAATTTAACTGATACATCTTCCTTTGAACGGTATGGCTTGATTATATATATATATATATATATATATATATATATATATATATATATATATATATATATATATATTGATCAGAAATCTGTTTTGTCTCATCCATGATCAGAACAAATCTGTTCAATAAACCCTTTCTTTCACCCCATTCCAATAGACGCATGCCTCTTTGTCATAGCTGACGCACTATCCGCCAATCAAAAGTTGGAATTTGGAAGGCTGGTAGAAAATGTCTTTTCCATCTGTTAAAAACAAAAACATCCCATTTCAGAACTAGAATTGATGCGAGTTAACTTTAAACTTATAAACATTTTTTAAAAAATCACTATTTATTTTTTATTATTTTTGGCTTAATCGCTAGGGTATATCAACCTTTTGGCAAAATTGCAGTCTATAATGAAATTAGTTTTGTATACTGAATTCCTGTTTGTACGGCAACAAGTGATTTTCACCATGTAGTTTTCATCTTCGTGAACTTAACAGTTTTAGAGATCGTATATAGTGCAAAACAACATGTACTAAGCTTTAACGAGTTCTTGTCAAAGATTGCTTATTAACGTGCCTCCTTTCGGTATTACTAAAAGTACATTGTAGTCTTTATTAAATTATCGTGTCATTCAGGATTGCCCACCACTGTTACCTCCAGCAGGTATTTTAAACTAGCTGTCTCTTTGTGACACTCCGTTCTCTGTGCTTATTGGTCAGTTTATACATTTATTTTCTTTAAATCTTCATTTATTACATATGTTTTGGGTTTGTAATTTATCACTTAGCCAGGCACATAGTTTATCTAACGAGCACCAATGTTTAGTGTTCAGAAGAGGATATCAAAGCGGTTTATATTTAAAGGTCGTGGTTATATTATTAGATTTACTAGTATGTAGAAACCATAGTCACTATTTGGAATAGAAAGGCTCTCTATACAGTATACAGGCCCGTAGCCAGCAAATTCAAAAGGGGTGTTCTTTTGCTGAAAAAGTGGACCTTTTACAAAAAAACTTACGCATACCTAGAACAAATTTTACCCAAAGTGGAACTTTTCCTGACAAAATGGGCGGTTCTTTCAAACCCCCCGAACCCCCCTTGGCTACGGGCCTGGTATAAATAGGGTTATAACACCGCTATTCAAAGAGAGACTCAAGGCACACTCCACACATTCAAAAGACACTTTCATACTCAAACTAGACGCGCTGAGACAATGAAACACTACATAAGTATACCGAGTTTATGCATCTCAAGAAAGTAAGGCTGATTGAGAACCAGAATGCGTCTTTGTCAATCATTGAACCGCCTGACAAATATATCGATTGTGATCAAAACTTCTATTGAAGGTCAAAACTTAGCAGTGCCGAGCACTGACGCCACCAAACTCATTGTCTCCGTGACAGAGACTGAAATCGAGAAGATAACATGTTAATAGCAAATCTGCATCGGCCAAAGGAGAAATCCAACATAATACTCATCGCGTATAATGCAAATATTATTAGATCCTGAAAGCACGGCTTACATTGGTAAAGCAACGACACAGCTCTACGTGATGACGTCACCGGAGGGCACCTGTTTTAGAATAAATTAATTAAGAAGCAAATGGTAATCAGCAGCACGCCTCCGAAACATGAACATGGGATTCTACGTGCCAAAGAGTTATCTGGAAAATTTTATAGTTTTCTTGCGACTTGTACTGGTAATATATCAGGTACATAGCAATGTTCAGTATAAACATTTTGTCGCCACAAAAGACTTCATTTTACCATCCTCTGTCTGGAAGACGGTGACGACGGGAAGCGCTATCAGCTGCGTTGTAAAATGTGCCAACATGGAAACATGTGTATCTTGCAATTACTACAAAAATGCACCTAGTCAAATAAACTGTTGCTGTTATATTATTGAAAGACATTGGACATTGTGACATTAACAGTTACACTGTACTGTCATATAATGGGAATATATTCACTATTGTGACAACCGTTGCTGTTGTATTATGGGAACCCACTGAACATTGTGAAATCAATGTTAACTGTTGTATAATGGGAATACATTTAATATTGTTACATCAACTGCTGCTGTTCATGTGCTTGATCATATATATCAAACGCATACAACATTCATTTTCAGTTCCCAGGCTTCACTGTACAAACCAGCGTTAAAAGTAAAAAAGTGAAACTGGAATAAAAAATTCAAAAACTGCACGTCAATTTTCGTATTGCCGTAAAATTTTGGGGGCTACAAAAATGTTTGTAATATTTGTAGATTTGTGATTTTATTGATTTTAAGTCTTAAACTAAATTGATTTAACTAAATTAATGCAAAACAGAGAGCACGACACATGGCATATAATGTAAATAACCCGGCGATTTTCAGACCTTATACTGCATTTATTAGATAAATGCACTTGAAATTTACTCTGGCTTTTCGTCTGATATGCCACCGGGTCATGCATAAATATCCCGTCCACCATTGGTCAAAAAGGTTGTTCCACCTCCAGTTCCAAGTGGTTTTACTTACAAATGATCACCTCGTATGTGTATAACTGATATTAACACTGTTTTTATTATACAAATACCCTATCTAACTTGAATTATGGTGCGGAAATACAAAATACCATTTACTATATCCATTTTAAAACCACTTATCAATATAACATGTACCCCCTCTCTATTTTGATGTTCCAATGTGATTTCCCGAGAGGTAAAAAATGTCCATTAAATCGAAAAGACCCTACCAAATGTCTCCATATTTAAAAAGTATGACCGAAGTAGCCATGTTATATAGAAAATGAACTGGATGTACATAAAAGAAACAACATGCACTCAAATTACTTGTATCAATAAATCCTTAAGCCCATTTTAATTAGTAATCAATTTTTGCCCTGAAAGAGTTCTTCACTTTTCAATAATTTAATCATTATCTAAAACGAACACGTCCGAGCTTAATGAAAGCAAATAAATTTAATTCATGCCCCTATCCTCGAGTTCTTATCTGTGATCACTGTCACAATATTTTTATTTCTGCAACAAGAACATTGTGTCATTAAAATTCATGAAAGAACCATGCAAATTTTATAAAAGATTAAAATAAAGAAAAGGTTCGTCATTATAATTTGGACACCGTTCTTAACCTCCGGTGGATTATACGATGTTATATAACTTCCAGAGTATCCATCAAAGTGTTTACAGGGTATTTTAATTCAAAACTCCTTGGATTTTATGATATATTGATCTGTGGTCTGTATTGTCCCATCTGTTCGATTTAAGACATTGTTACCAAGAAAAATTTAATATTTCCAATTTTTGGTATATTTAACAAACCCACAATTACTGGAGAAAATCACTCTCACACTTGACAAACAAAAGGTAAAAGGAAACAGTGATTTATATTTCAGAAATATTTTATTAATTAATACTAAAGTCAATATAAAACTACCGCTAAGATAAACCCCATAAACAAAATTCTATTGCTCTTAGTGTTTTTCATACTTCCATTAATTCTATAATTTGATTCCGTGTTTATAAGAAGTGATAGGATTTGTCACCATAATCTACCAAAACAATTGAAAAGCTTTTAAAATATTAAAATGTCACTTTTCGTTAATTAATAGTTTGCCACCATTCAGTTTGTGATACCGTTTTTAACAAAATGTAAAATTAATCATAATTCTAAAATTAACAAAATTATTTCTATCACATTCCTTTGAAAAAAATCTAAACTAAATAAACATTTTAATATTTGAATTTTAATGTTTAAATTTTTAATTTTAATTAAAATTCAAGAAATGTTCATATGTACAAAAAGTTCATTTTAAAGCACATACTTACAAATACAATACAGTGACAGCAGTGCATTCGTCCATCCTTAAATCTAAAAATTGACTGAAAACTGTTGTTAGGATACACCCATGCAGCCGTTCCTAATTATTTTACACAATTTTAACCTTAAACGTAGATAGAAATTAATTCAATACTATAACATAAATGGAGTTATTAACATGCAGTTAAATTTCGTATCAATTAATATACAACATTGGTCAAAAAGGTTGTCCCACTGTACATGTATGATAATGGAATAAAACACCAATCTAAAATGACGAAAAAATGTGACTTTTTTCAAGGATATATACAATAAACGAGGAGCTCAGAACTTCCTATAAGATTCTTCAACCTGATACAATTCCCCCCTGTAGGTACCTTGCTTTACAAGGTGCTTTACAAATATCAAATAACACAGAAGTATTTTTTAATATTGCCATGAAAATAGTAAAACAATGTGATGAGAAATGAGCTGTTTATGTACAAAATATAACTCGCCATTGATACTGGGTAACAACAATTGGTTATCATCTTTGAGAGACTGCCAAAATATTCCTTTGTGTTGGATTACAATGGGTGTGCTTTCATCATAAAAGGGATGGATTTGTCTTATTATAACAAATAATATGCTTTTCGTAGTACAACAATGTGTAAGGAAGTGAGTGTAGAATCACAGATGTTATGACCTAATCTTGTTTCGTTTTCAGACGCGCGACAGCAAAATCATAACTAGCGTGTAGTGTGTTTCCCCATTCCCATTAGGCTCAGTGACCTAGCGTACACAGTGTCCATTGATGACGTGATGACCCGGTAACATGAATTAAATGTGACTAATGGAATTAGCTATAGCCATTTCTCACTTTTCGGTTATTAGGCCTACTCATGAGAGACGATTTCATGTCATCGCTGCTTAACCCTGATTCAGTATCGCAGTATGCTTTCCCATCTATGTGAAGTTAAGCGTACTCTTCCCTGATAATTTTTAAACTGTATGTGTTTAACGTTACACTTTCCAAATTTTATGAATATAAATCAAATACGGTTCATATTCTAAGTGGAAAGTGTGCTCACTAGATCTTTACCATGTTGACATTTTGATGCCCATGTCTCATTGTTGCTACCCATTATCGTGGACGTGCATACCATAGGCTATAATTAGATGCAAACTATGAATTTGGGTTGATTTTCTTAAAATATTCATAACATCTAAAAACACCATGAACCAAAATGATAATGCAGAAATCACTATTAGCTAAAATTTCAAATTGACAACATTTGTATGAACTTGTTCAAATATTCTACAAACCAGCTATGTGGAACTAAATATTAAATATACAACTCTGGAGGTTGAATATACAGGAATCTGCTGTCACAGCATCTCAAATATTACACCATTGTCCCAGTGTTTTTATGCACAGTCATTATTCGCATTGATACATTCGTAAACATTGCCCTGTCCCAGTCAATCTCTATACCACCAAATTGCCCATTTTTCCCGCTGATTTTATGGTTGTCACTTTTAAACCTTTCTCCACATACGCACACTATGCCAATTTGGAAAGTTTCTTAATAAGCATTTTGGTAGAAAATTTGGCACCACAGATTCTATTGGGTACTGTAATTGGGTAAAAAGGATTCAAATTGAATCTAATTAAAGTTTATCTCAAATTGTACCTTAAACTGTCAGAAATGGCATCTGTCACATTTGGTTATCACGTGTCCTCTAGACAATGTTCTCTGCTGTACAGCACCTCTGTGTCCTAACTCACTCTTGAACCTTAAAGAAAGGATAGGAAAGGAAGAAATAATGAATTGCATGTTTTACGGTACTAATATTCTTTACAGTATTTTATTCGTGACATTTATAGACCATTCTCATGACTTTTAGAAGCATACCAATATACTCTAGTGACACTACATGACCTTAAAACGTTGACAATACGATTTCTGTGATGAAAAATATAAAGAATTCCATCAATAATGTGCTCAGCAAAGACAAACATATTGTTGATCCAACGTCTTTAAAATCATTAGCTAAAAATTAGACTGAATGGTATCTTACCTGACCGCTTTTTCCTTTCAGTCTTATATACAGCTTTCTTGAATTTAGAAAAAGGGTCATCCCATAAATAGGGTACTTTGTCACTCAACTTTTGAAGAAGTAATTCTACCTCCTGCGAAACTTGTCCCCCTGATTCGTGATGCACGGAGTTCACTTCTTCCTCTGTTAGGACACACTCAGACATTAAAATTTCCAGTACTGATTTCAGACCATCTTCTCCGAGGTCCGCTGCCAAATCTGATAACCTAGAATGCAGTGTATAATATATTCATTATAAAATGATTGTGTCATTAAGAAAAACGTTTTTTTAGTGGAATATGTAGTAATTGCATGGACACAGGTTAGTTACTGCTTTCAGTCAATATTTTTGTCTGCGTTCTTTTCCACTTCTGTAAGCATGAAATAGTGTGGAATCTGTCCAAGATATGTCAACAATCAAACTATTGATGACACAAGTGACGGCACGTTTATTACTCAAACCAGCAAATACAACTCTACATGTAACAATAAAAAGGCAATGTAGCCACATTACTTGATGTTTTAGATAATATTTTACAAATCTGGAAAGGGTGTGACGCCGACCTACCTCAGGAGACTTGCAGTTTCATGATGTCCACTGTCATGTAAAGCTCCACAGAAGATGTAAAACGCAGAGTCCCTTTTTCTTTTAAGGATGCTGAAAAGTTCGTCTGGTTCTCCAATAGAACTCCTCTCTTCCTCTGTGAGTATCCCTTCTTTCACAAGTCGACTCAGTATCTCCCAGAGGTGCCTGAATGGACCTCTGATGTCTTTAAACATTTGTACGCCGTGTATTCTTAGGGTCGTACTGTGAAGATCGGTTATGTTTCCTATAAGGAATAATAATCAAGCTACATGTCCGACATACATGAAATAAATCATCGAAACACTGTGTATAATAAAAGGTAAAGTTTGACTGTTTTCTTTCACCCTTACCCATTTTCTGCAATATTTATACCATTTATAGACAACCCATAACTGATAGTGATGTAAGCTTACCCTTTGTCACAGGATAATAGAAATCTGCTGAGGCCATAACACCTAGCTCTTCCACTCGGCATGGGTGATAACATGCCTTATCTTCCAACGAGACACTGAGAAATTGATCTGGTAATTCAAAAAGTGATGGAGGTGTTATCTCTTCATGCATACAATGCGGACAGACTAAATATTCATCTCGGGATGCACCAGGGCATTCTCTCTCTATCAGCTGAGTCAAAGCCATAAACACATTTAGACAAGACTCTTGGAGTTGGTGAATGTTGTTCCCTTGCATGGAAAGCCTAAGTATTCCGTTTTCTGAATTTCCTGCACATTCTCTTTCAAGTGTCATTCGGAGGCAATCACCAAGCTGAGCATAGAAACCATTTTTCCAGTCTACACGCGTTGATTTGAAGTTTCCCAAATGTCCATGAAAATGGACGGCGGCCATTTCATACAGTCCAGTTGGGCAGGGACCTGCAAAACGGATCTCTATGGAAATTTGTAATGTATCTCGGGAAAGGGGCATCTGCCATTTTGGAGAGAGAACTTTTGGGCGATCTTTTTTCAGAAGCCATGGGAGATGAAACCTTTCTTCTTGCGTGTCCTTACCTCTGACAGCATAGCAAATCTGAAAGATCTCCAGTAATTTCAGCATTGCAGAAAATATCTCTGGTCCTTGATTATATTCCTCCCAAAAACATTCAAGCAATGTTGTGCTCAAGATACCTCGTTTTTGAGCATCCTGTTTTGCAGATTCAAACCCAAGTTTGGTGAACTTCTCACTGAATGGCGTTGTATAGTGTTCTAGGATTGATTCTAGGTTGCGACAGAGTACTATCTTCAACAAATTTATGACTTTGTCCTGTTTGTGAAATACAACATGTTGCAACGACGTCTCATCTTTGAACCACCAAACCACACCAGTTTCATGTAGAAAAGACATGACATCTTTCATTATCTGACTCTCTGCGGCTGGGTACCTACCCCTGCCAGTCGGCGCCTCTTCAGCCTCTTCAATTCTGGCAACTTTAGTCGGAGGTTCGTACTCTTTGTCCCTTTCCTGAAGTGAAGTCATAAACAAAGCATGTTCTTTTCCATTGCTAGTTGACGCTTCTTCAAGTTTGGCAACTTTTGGAGAAGATCCTTGATCTTTGTTCATATCCTTATGATATGTCTCGACCGATTCTGCTCCACTGCTAGTTGAAACCTCTTCAATGTTGCCAACTTGAGGGGCGGGTTCATGTTCGTCATTCATTTCCTTAAGAGAAGTCATGAACAAGGCAGATTCTGTCCCACTGTGTTTAGTCTCTTCAATGTGATGTACAATTTTCAGCCATGACCTTGGTAGTATAATAGTTTTTTTCTTTCCTTCCTGGATCAATTTTTCTTTAAGATCCTTAATTCCATACCCTGATTCAGAACTAATGTCATAAATATTTCTACAAATCCTTGGTGGGTGTTCGATTGATTTTCTTATGTGATCCATCTTTTTGTGGTATGTTTCTGTAAGAGTTTCCCGTTTCTTCAATTGTACATTCAAGTTGGCATAGGCTGCATTTAAGCTGGATAGTCTGCCTTCCAACTGTGCTTCACATGCTTTCATGATGTCTTTCTTCTTAATCTGTCTTTCGTCATCATTAAGGCGGTCTGCATGAGTTCCTACTAGTAAAATTCTTGATTCTGGTGATCGGCAATAGATATTGTCAATCCATGTTCCTATAGCACTGTGGTAGTCATTTGCTACGTTCAAGCAGATATTGAATACAACCAACGTCAAAGATTCATTGGTCAGAAAGAAAATGTATGCATCTTTGTAGACTGAATGACCGCCAAAGTCATTGATATTCAAGAAGATATCCTCCTTGATATTCAAGAAAACGTCCTGTTGGGGCCGCCATGTTTTTTGCTGCAGGACATGCGTACTGTCTGCTTCAAGGGTCAGGTAGGGCCTTCCCGTTGTGAGTGTTCCCACCAGACTTGTCTTCCCTGCACAAGTTTCTCCTAGCACCTGGACCTGGAGGATCGATGCTTCCTGTTCCAAACTTTTTGCTAGATCTTCAAGATATCGAAACACAGGCTCCTTGCCCTCGTTTGCTACATCTTGTGGCGGCTGAATTAATTTGTTGCCTGTCAGGTGAAGTTCACGTAGAGATGACAGGAGTTGCATTTGCACGGGCAATCTCTTCAATTTGTTGTTACCTAAGTCAAGAGTAACGAGGTTCATCATCATATCAGCTATTTTCTCAGAAATATCAATAATATTGTTGGAATTTAGACTAAGAAAGCTTATTTTGCTGGTTTTAGTCAAGACCGGGAATTTGGTTATGTAGTTATGATCCATCCAAACAGATTTTAGTGTTTCCAGCTCAAATAAAGTGATCGGGAATTCGTTCAGCTTGTTGTTGGATAGGTTAATTTCTTTCAAACTCCTCAGTTGTTTCATCTCTGGTGGAACTGTGGCAATTTTGTTATGACTCAGGTTGAGCTCTTCTAATGTCTCCAGCTCACATACTGGTGTCTGGATTTCTTCCAAACTGTTGTGGGACATGTTTAATTTCTTCAGATTCTTTAGTCGTTGCACCTCTGGTGGAATGGTGGTGATGTTGTTATGGCTAAGGTCAAGCTCTATCAGTCTTTCAAGCGTAAATATTGATAATGGTAATTGATTCAAGTGGTTCTTGGACAGTTCTAATTTTTTTAGGCTTTTCAAATGATCGATTTTCAAAGAGGCTGCATTTACTCCACACTCAGATGCTTTTAACTCTTCTAGAACTCTTAGTGTGTGCATGGCCTCCCATGTAGCCTTGTCTAGGGTTCCATTACCGGATATATCAAGTCTTTCAATGTTGACACAGCGAGATATACTCTGTGGGATTCTGGTTCCAATTCTTTGTAGATTAAGGCTTTTCCATATCTCTTTTTCTTCTGAATCTGGATCAGCATATTTTGGGTCTCTGTCGAGCTTTTGAAGCAATTCAAGCTTATCACGCTCAGGTGAATTTGATGGGTACATCTTTTCCAGTCGCTGTTTCCTTTCAATCTCATAAACAACTTTCTTAAAATTAGAAAAGGACTCATTCCGTAAACAGCAAACTTTATCGCTCAATTTTTTAAGAAGAGCTCCCACCTTACGAGAAAGCTGTTGCCGTGATTTATAAAGCACATAGTTCACCTCCTCCTGTGTTAGTACACTCTTGTGCAACAAAGTTGTCAGCGCTTCTCTGAGGCCATCTTCCCCAAGGCCCAATGCCAAATCCGATAACCTACAATAAAGTTCATAATATGCATTTAAAATAAAATAAATTTGTCATAAAGAAAGCAGTTTTAGTGGAATATGAAACAATTGGAAATTGTTTACTGCTTTCAAGCAAACATTTCTGGGGGCGTCTTCTGGTGGCATATAATGGATTGAATTACATTTACAAGATACGTCAAAAACCTATTTGGTATAATTAAATGTGAACCAATTGCCTGTAAATGAAATAAAAAATGGAAAAATAACCCAGGAAATATCTAACTTGATAAACACTTTAAAACTCAGTATAGCTGGTAGGAACAAGACGTTGACCTACATCAGAAGACTGGCAGTTTCATGTTTCCCACTGTCATGTAAGGCTCCACAGAAGATGTAGAACGCAGAGTCCCTCTTTCCTTCAAGGATGCTGAAAAGATTGATTGTTCCATCTGGCTCTAGAATGGATCTCCGGTCTTTCTTTGTGAGTACATTTTCCTTCACAAGTCGGCTCATAATCTCCTTGAGGGGCTGGGATGGACCACTGATGTCTTTATACATTTGTACGCCGTGTATCCTCAGAGTTGTACTGTGGAGATCGGTCATGGCACCTACCAAAACAGTGGGGAAGCACCTTATATTAAATAAACCATTTTTTAAATAAACAATGTAGAATGTACAGTTCCAAAGTTTTCTGCCAACTGATAATGTGGCAATTTCATTCATATTGGATAACATAACTACTGCTTATAACTGACTGTAATATTAACGTACCCTTCGTCACAGGATAATAGAAATCCGCCGAAGCCATGTAACTTGGATCTTCCTCTGGGCAAGGGTGATAACATGCCTTATCTTCCAGTGAAACATTAAGAAATTGCTCTGGTATTTCAAAAAGTGATGGAGATGTTTCCTCATTATGTAAACAATGTGGACACACCACATATTCAACTCGAGTTGCACCAGGGCATTCTCTTTCTATCAACTGTGTCAAGTCCTTGAATAACTTAAGGTAAGACTCTTTGAGTTGGTGAAGATTGTCCCCACGCATGGAAAGCCTTACTTTTCCATTGGCTGGGTTTCCTACACATTCCCTTTCAAGCGTCATTCGGAGATTATCATCAAGCTGAGCATAGAAACCATCTTTCCAGTCTATACGTGTTGATTTGAAGTTTTTCAAGTGTTCATGGAGATGTACAGCAGCCGTTTCATACAGCCCTATTGGACAGGGGCCGGCAAAATGGACCTCGGTGGAAATTTGCAATGCATCTCGGGGAAGGGGTGTAGTCTGCCATTTGGAGGAAAGATCTTTTGGGCGACCTTCTTCCAAGATCCATGGGAAATGAAACATATCTTCTTCCTCGCCTTTAACCACATAGCACACCTCAAAGTCCTTTAGTAATTTCTGCATTGCTAAAAATCCTGGTATCCCTAGGTCATACTTCTCCCACAAACATTCAAGCAATGTTGTGCTCAAAATACCACTTTTAAGCACATCCCGTTTTGCAAATTCAAACCCCGGTCGGCTGAATCTCTCTCTGAAGGGTTTAGTATCATATACAAGGATGGATGCAAGATCATGACGGAGGACTGCTTTCAAGAGGTTTATTAACACATCCTGTTTGTGAAAAATGACCTGTCGCAGCAAAGGATTGGCTTTGAACCACAAAACCACGCCAGTATCATGCAAAAACGAAATGACATCTTCCATCCTCTGACTCTCTGCTTTGTCCCGTTCTTTGCTGGTTGATGCCTCTTCAATTCTGGCGACTTCAGGAGGAGGTTCGTGTTCTTCGTTTATGTCTCCAATGGAATCCATGGACAAAACAGATTCTGTCCCACTGTGTTTAGCTTTTTCGATGTTCTCTACTATTTTCAACCATGATCTTGGTAATATGATGGCCTTTTGCTTTGCTATTCGGATCAATTCATTTTTAAGGTTCTCAATTCCATATTGTGATTTGGAACTTGTGACAAATATGTCTTCACAAACCTGTGGTGGGTTTTTCATTGATTTTCTTATGTGATCTAATTTAGTATGATACGCCTCTGTAAGCTCTTTCTGTTTTCTCATTTTTTTACGCAACGTGTCACAGGCTGCTTTCAATCTGGATTGTCTCTTTTCTAATTGTGCTTTCCACGCTCTCTTGATATCTTCCTTCTTTGTCTGTATTTCTTCATCACTAACGAAGTCTGCATGAGTTCCTACTAGTAAAATTATTGATTCTGGTGATCTGTAATAAATGTTTTCAATCCAAGTTCCTATATCACTATGGTACTCCTCAGCTATGTTCAAACAGATATCAAAAACAACCAAAGATAATGCATTTTTGGCCAAGAAAAAGTTGTGTGCAACTTTGTAGACTGAATGACCACCAAAGTCATTGATATTCAAGAAGACATCCTCCTGTGGCACCCATGATTTTTGCTGCAGGACATGCGTTCTGTCTGCTTCAAGGGTCAAGTAGGGCTCTCCCGTTGTGAGTGTTCCCACCAGACTTGTTTTTCCTACACAAGTTTCTCCTAGCACCTGAACCTGAAGTCTTGATGCTTTTTTTGCTCTGGTTTGTGCCAGATCTTCAAGATACCGGAACACTGCCTCTCTGCCTTCTTTGACTACCTCTTCTGGTGGCTGAATCAGTGTGTTACCCCCCAGGCAAAACTCTTTTAGAGATGATAGGAATCGCATCCCTGGAGGTAATTTTTCCAACTTGTTGTTTTCTAAGTTAAGAGATTCTAAGTGCTGCATCATTTGGCCTATTTCTTCTGAAATCTTAGTAATACTGTTAGACTTAAGACTTAACTTTCGTATTCTGCTGAGTGTTGTCAAAGCTGGGAGAGTGGTGATCTTGTTATTGTCCAAGAAAACTCCTTTAATTTTCTCCAGCTCACATAATGTTATTGGGAATTCGACCAGATTGTTGTTGCATATCCATATTTTCCTCAAATTCTTCAGTTGCTTTACCTGTGGTGGGACTGGGGTGATGTTGTTATCGTCCAGGTAAACCTCTTCTAGTGTCTCCAGCTTACATAATGGTACAGGGAATTCATTCAGCCTGTTGTTGCACATCCGTAATATCTTAATGTTCTGTAGATTTGTAACCTCTGAAGAAACCATAGTGATGTTGTTATAGTCCAAGTCAACCTCTTCTAGTGGTTCCAGCTCACATAGTGTAACAGGAAATTCGTTCAGATGGTTGTGGTTCAGTCTTAATTTCTTCAGCTTTTTCAACTGTTTTACCTCTGGTTGCAATGTTGTTATGTTGTTATGGCTCATGTCGACCTCTTCTAGTGTATCCAGATCACATACTGGTTTTGGGAATTCTCGTAGCCTGTTGTTTTTCAGCTTAAGTACCTTAAGATTTTTCAGTTGTTTAACCTGTGGCGGAATTCTGGTGATGCTGTTGTTGCCCAGGTCAACCTCTTCTAGTGCCTCCAGTTCGCATGCTGGTATTGGGAATTCATCCAGATTGTTGTTAGAGAGTTTCAAAATCTTCAGATTTTTCAATTGTTTTACCTGTGGTCGCACTGTTGTTATGTTGTTATGGCTCATGTCGACCTCTTCTAGTGTATCCAGCTCACATACTGGTTTTGGGACTTCTTGTAGCCTGTTCTTTATCAGCTTTAGTACCTTTAGATTCTTCAATTGTTTTACTTCTGGCGGAATTATGGTGATGCTGTTGCCTTCCAGATCAACTACTTCTAGTGTTTCCAATTTACATACTGGTATTGGAAATGCACCCATATTGTTCTTACACAGCCCTAGCGTCCTGAGGTTTTTCAGTTGTTCTATATGTGGAGGAACTGCACTGATCTTATTATTGTCCAGGTAAACCTCTTCTAGTGTATTCAGCTCACACAGCGATAAAGGAATTTTTTCCAAATTGTTGTTGCACAGCCTTAGTCCCTTCAGATTAGTTAGTTGTTTTACCTCTGGTGGAATTGTTCGGATCTGGTTATTGGACAAGTTAACCTCTTCCAGAGAGTCCATCCCACATACTGGTTCCGGAAATTCATTCAGTTTGTTGTGATTTAGCCTTAGTATCTTCAGGTTCTTCAGTTGTTTTACCATAGGTGGAACAGTGGAGATCTTGTTGTTGCCTAGGTTAACCTCCTCCAGAGACTCCAACCCACATAGTGCTCTAGGAAATTCATTTAATTTGTTGAACTGTAGTCTTAGTATCTTCAGGTTTCTCGGTTGTTTTACCCACGGTGGAACACTGGGAATCTTGTTTTTGGATAAGATAACCTTCTCTAGTGTCTCAAGCTGACATACTGAAGTTGGAAATTGATCCAGTTTGTTGTTTTGCAGATTAATGGACTTCAAATTCTTCAGTTTTTCTACCTCTGTTGGAACTGTGGTGATCTTATTATGATTTAAGTTAACCTTCTCCAGTGTCTTCAGCTCACATACTGGTATCGGAAACTCATTCAGCTCGTTGTCAGACAGCCTCATTATCTTAATATTTTTTAGTTTTTTCAATTCTGGTGGTACTGTGGTGATCTTATTATCGCTCATTCCGACCTCTTCTAGTGCCTCCAATTCACATACTGCTATTGGAAATTCTTTCAGGTCGTTGTCCTTCAGCTTAAGTTTCTTCAGCTTTTTCAACTGTTTTACCTCTGGTCGCAATGTTGTTATGTTGTTATGGCTCATGTCGACCTCTTCTAGTGTATCCAGCTCACATACTGGTTTTGGGAATTCTCGCAGCCTGTTCTTTAACAGCTTTAGTACCTTAAGATTCTTCAGTTGTTTAACCTGTGGCGGAATTGTGGTGATGTTGTTGTTGTCCAGTTCAACCTCTTCTAGTGCCTCCAGTTCGCATGCTGGTATTGGGAATTTATCCAGATTGTTGTTAGAGAGTTTCAAAATCTTCAGATTTTTCAATTGCTTTACCTGTAATGGGGTTGTTCTGATGTTGGAAAAGCTCAGGTCAACTTCTTCTAGTGTCTTCAGCTCACACACCGTCATTGGGAATTCTTTCAGGTTGTTCTTGAACAGCTTTAGCACCTTCAGATTCTTCATTTGTGTTACCTGTGGTGGAATTGCAGCGATGTTGTTAAAGCTCACGTTAACCTCTTCTAGTGTCTCCAGCTCATATATTGCTGCTGGGAAGTCTTTCAGCTCGTTTTGGGACAGGTCAAGGCTTTTAAGATGGTCCAGTTGCTTTACCTGCGGAGGAACTGTGGCGATGTTGTTAAAGCCCAGGTTAAGCTTCACCAGTGACTTCAGTCCAAATATTGACGATGGGAATTCTTTCAAGTTGTTTTTTGAAAGATCTAATTTAATTAGGTTTGTCAGCTGATCGAATTTCATTGAGATCACATTGAATCCACATGCTGATGCATTTAACTCCTCTAGACCTTTTAGTGCGTATATTGCATCCAATGTTGCATGGTCTAGGTTTCCATTACCAGATATATCAAGTATTCTAAGTTTGATACATCGACGTATACTCTGTGGAATTCTTCTTCCAATTCTTTGAAGATTAAGGCTTGTCCACCCCTTTGCTTCTTCTGCATCTGGCCCAGCGTATCTTGGATTTTTGTCCAGCTTTTGCAACAATTCAAGCTTTTTCCATTCTGGTGAATCTTTGTTTGCTGACATATTGATTATATTGGGAAACCTGAAATTAAACCATAGAATTCTGTAGAAAATTTTATCACTTTATACATGTATTTCCTCATTTAATATCTCTGATGTACTAGTATACAGCGTATATAGACTGTTTCAACTGCTCAAAGCATTTAAAAAATTAATTCACTGAAGTTTTAATTAAAAACCCAGCAAGAGTTGGATCTGTATCCAAGATTCCCATTCCTAAATTAATGACTAAAAAACAAATACAGAAATAATCGAAAAAAGACAGACATCACATTTTATTTTAATAACATTTAAAATGCCATTTCTCTTGCTAAAAATTCATTATGTATGAAAACTAGGTAAGACATTTACCAAATAATCAGGTGAGTAAGACCCTCCAGTCCTGCTGAAAATTACATGCCAAGTAGTTATGTCGACAATTTCATTCCCAAGGTCTTAAGCTTTAAAAACAAATTTTCAATTCCCTAACGTTGGTTGCAAAACTACTAAAGCGCATGCGCAGGCCGTTGGCATTATGAATTTAACATAGCGAGATAGAAGAACAGTAGAGAAGAAATGTACCTTATCAAAAGCCAATAACCCGACTAAGGTTATGTGTCTGCATGATGCACGTGGACTTGCATTGGTAGCCTTGGAGCATCTGCAAAACATGATAATTTTTGCTGTAATCCGAAAGTAAAAATTATTGCGTTCCTTGACAAAGATTGCTTTCAAACGTAAAAAGTATTGCGTTCTCTTGCAAAGTTTTCATTCAAATGTAATACATGTAATTATTGCGTTCCCTGAGAAAGATAACATTGAATCGTTGTTGTTTTTTCCCCTTTTGCATGTCCTTTAAAATCTCTGTATACATGACATATGTGAACCAAAAAAAAAAAACACCACTTTAAGAGCTATGCTCTCCCAAAGTTGGTTTAGATTTTACTTTCAAAGGATAATTTTAAAAACATTTCTCATTGTAATAAGTATAATTTATGATCCATTCCAGCCAGTTCAAAAATTTACAAAAAATCTGCTTTTTCGAAGTCTCTAACATTCTCGACTTGAC